TTTCCGTTTTTCTATCGATGAATCCACAGTTATATGAGACGAGATTGCTGTCGACGAGTGGAACGTTTTTCTGACAATGAATTTCGAACCATTCAACTAACTCAGCTTTCGGAAATAATAATGAGTTGTTATTCCAAATATTATCTTGACATTCACAATTTAATGTTGGAAGATTATCCATCGTACGAACACGTTCAAGGATGATTGCTCAATTTTCAACACGAATCAGAAGAACTTCACGTTGACGTCCGAGGGATGAATTAGCCAAGATAGATCATTGGACAGTGTTCATATATCGATTCATTTTTGCACGATAATGTTTCAAATGAACTCGACGAAGTGATGAATAAGTGATATTTAATTATGTCAAGAGTAAAAAATGACATCGCAGCAACACATAAACATTCCAGACTAGTTGCTCGATTGAGTAAATTTTTCAGTTGATATTCGGATTGACTATTTTCTCTCGTTTCAATTACTTCTAGACATGTTAAATGATCCAATGTAGGAACAATAGTTCAAAAATTATTATCGAAAAGAAGTCTCAAGGTCAGCCGACGACTGTTAGGGTAGTATATAGGACATAAACTTGATTTATCTATGCTTCCTTTATAAAACACGTTAGTCACTCGATCGTAAGAGTTGCAGTCGTGAGCATTGAGACAAGTCGATTTCGACCATCTGTTTAAGTAAACACTATGACTTTTACCAAAGCAATAGGGTAAAATGTAGACAATAAACACTTTTTTGGTATGTGTTGGCCAATCGTGTCGAACAAACCATTTATAATCTTGAAGCCAAAAAGATGTTTGGAAGGTTTTCAGTAAGTCGTCGAGTTGTTCTTCCATATTATTATGTTTAAATGATAAAACTTTCATTAGCTACCGAAACATTTCTATCTTAGGTGTACAATCGATTAAGATTTGTTTCCATTGATTTCCGTTCAAATTAAGTGTACTTGTCTCAAGCATCAAATGCTGCAAATTTGGCATATTTTGAAAAATATTAGTTAAGGTAGATAGTGAACCATCAAAGTTAAGTCTTAAACCAGTGATTAATGGAACGATATCTCTTGTATCTAATTCAATATCACTACTCTGTCCAAATTTAATACAAAGATGCTGAAGATAAGGTGTTAAATTCAATAGATAAGTGAGTCCATAAGAAGAAAATATAAAAATTTTTATTAGTAAATATATAATAGATGTTGAAATCATTGGTAGTCTAGCAAAAGTAAGTTCACCTCCGAAAATCAAATCTAAAGTGCAATGCGTGAGTCGGGGTAGATGCCAAATGTTATTAATTATCTATTGAGAATTCGTATCATATGCAACATGACATTCAATGATTTTCAAATGAATAAGACATGGCAGATAAAAACGATCCAATATAATATTCGGAATTATGTTTGAAGAACCAATTTTTTGAAGCAGAAATGATCGTAAATGAGTAAATTCCTCAATAGTAAGACCATAAGGAATGAGAAGTTCAGGTAATTGTGAAGTTTCTTCACCATCTGATAAACAAAGTGAACTGACATGATCAATAATTAATGGCAAAATATTGTTCACACATAAGATGAAAATTTGATTTCGAAACAACGAAAATCCAGATGATATGATCGAAAATAAAGGAATAGAAGTCTGTTGACGCGAGCGTCGAGTCCTTCAAAAGCGTGGATGAGTTGTATAGGATCAAAAACTCGAATAGGTCGATGAGGAATTCATTGGATAGTCATTCCAACGCCATCTTTCTTTTTCTCTGCAAGAGAAAAACAAACAAAAAACCGTACCGCATGCATTTTTGTTCGACAAAAAGACAGATGTTTGTTTTTTTATAGCATGCTTTTCAAAGCTTGTGTTCGTTCTATGATGAATGTTGCAAGTATTGCTTATCGAGTGAGTCATAATATTCTCGTTCATAATGAAGATGATGATCGAACGAGAGAAAAAAAACTTGTTCGAAACTTTGACCTTTCTTTCTTGCATATTCATGTCGATGTGAGAATGAAACAATTTTTCCCACTTTGGAAAGTCCAATAGGTACATTTGGTTTTTCTCTGACTAGAAAACGATATCTAACGAACTATTACGAAGAGAAAACAATAATTATCTAGTTTCAATTTGCTTATTGAAGTTTCGTTAGAAAAATCGAGTTCAGAGCAGACATGATTCTATCATCATCCATTGATAGGCACTTCAAATTTTGTCCGGTCATGACTATGATGATGTGAGTTTTGTTAACTTGAGAAAAATCGACAATAGAACGCTGGAAAACATGATAAACTGAGCGAAGCCACACTGTCACACAATAAATAACGTTGTTTAATACAGGACCAGCTGCATCAATCGTAAGATCTGTATGTCAAATTTTCATGTGTTTTCACTCGTGATTGTCGATCTTTTCACAGTGACTCTGCATTGTTTACAGATATCAGTCGATAAAGCTACATGCACAGTCAAGTATTTTCATAAAAAAATCAATATTGGTTGTGGGTCTACACTGCTGTCGTTAAGAATTTCATAATTACATTGACTAGGGTTGCCTGATGAAAAGTTAAAAATTGAACTTTTTCCATTCAAATTTACTATATTTGTACTTTATGAAAAAATAGTGAAAGTAATTATCTAACATTTAAATGCATAAGTTGACTTTTTTTTGTTAGAAAAATGTTTTTTTTTTATCAACCATTATTTATTCGTATAAACCTCATTCACAGAAAGAAAAATTACAGCTGTATATCCATTATAAGAAATCATTGTTTTCAAGAGAAAGTATAGTAAGCAAAGAGAAAGAGCAACACAAATTATAGCATTTATATACATACATAGTTGAAAATAGTCTTACAAAAGAAAAAAACTAAACTTCATTCATTTAAAATATGTTGCTTATTTTTCAAATGCTTTGTTTGTTGTTGACGGAGTCTTTCAGCAAATTTTCTTGAGACATGATGAATTAATAAAAATGAGCATGATAAATATTGACATTCTTTCTAATTTCCAACTCAAGAGCAATCTATTCGATATCAATCGATTACGATAATCTGCCAGTAAATGATTCATATGACTAAATACAGCTTCAACGTTCGCATTGCTGTATTGAATAGTCCGAACCAGTTTTCTATACATCATAAGCTACAATCGTTTTACATTGAATACATATTACGTAGGGAATCACACTTTGTTTTTCATCTTAAATCTGATTACATGAGTTCCATTACCCCGCAGTGGCAGCTGTTGGTTTATTGCAAGATCTATAGTCATCGCTATATAGCTTCTCATAAAATTAATATCATGTATCAAAAACCACAAAAAATTGACGAATTACCGTAGTTTTACTAGTTCAGTTACCGGCTCCATTTACGTGATAAATCACCGGTGAACCGCAATTCACCAATAATTATTATCAATAAAGTAGATGGCTTTAGTTTGATGCCGAATTTAGACTGGTTGTAGTTTTTTCAGAAAGTGGTTTTATTTTCACATTCTTTTTTCTCATTTTGACGTGTTTCAAATAATGTCAGCACGCTCAATCGACTTAAAACATCAATACAGCATCAAAATATCTTCTAATCTAGGTCTAGTTTAGAATAGAATTTCTTCAGGACTTTTAATTGGTCACAACTGGCGAATCAGTTCATCTGCAAACAGCTTCTGTTAGCTCACTCAGAATGCAAGATGCATTAAAGATAAATATATTTTTGACTGACCAAGTTTTGATTGCGGTTACCTTATCTAAGAACTGTATGAACAACGAACTCTAAAGCTACTGTTTTGCAACGACATCTATTTTTATGTTAGTTAGTATGCTCATTTCGCTACTGAATGAATACGAATATAATTTATATGCTGAACTAGGCTATCATATATTTTGAATCTATGAATAAAAAATAAGAAAATGGTACTCTTCGCAGCTAACACAGGATTTTTCTCTTTTGACGTGCAACTTACTATTCCTTGTAAACGATTAACCGCCGGTTTTTATTCATACCACGTTTTACGATTAAAACTAATCCGGTATTTGTAGGATGCGATTTTCATCGATTATAGACATAACTAATACATCGAAGTCTAAAATATTATTTACCGCTTTACAGGCAAGCAATAAAATAATGATGAACATAAATATTTGTTGCTTTTTTATAGTGCATTCTATTACATGTATATACATTGTTTATAGCTTAGCAGAAAGACCAATAAACTATGTAGTAAAGGACGACGTCATTAAGTGTCAGTATTTAAAAAATACATATTTTCATTCTTTTCATGAATTGAAATGCTAAAAATGTCGCTTCTGTCTCCTCAAACTTCCACTTTTCATATCCGCCTGCATACATATTATCTTTACTCCTGGTAATCTGCCCGTACTCGTCAATTTGGTATTCGTAGCCAGGTACAGGTACAAGTAACGGGCGCACGGTTTACAGTTTTCTAGTTCTGATATTTATTATGATTTTTTTATTGTTTTTTTTTATTTAAGGAGCTTTTACAAATTTTTCAAGTTAAATTGGTCATGGTCAGCATTCGGAAAGAGCAACTTCTCAAAAATCTATGACTTATCGCCTTGGAATAAATCAACTATACAAAAAAAACATATCAGCGATTTAATACTAGAAATATAGTAAAATTATATTTGTGTAAATAGACTTATTCAGAAAAGAATAATTTGGAAACTGGACGACGAAGGGAATTCAGGTCTCTCAAAGTCAAACATTTCTGGACAGAGAGAGAGTCGAAAAATATGATTTTCACCTAAACCTTCTTTATAGATGATCCTTATGTATTAAAAAAAGTTGTATCATTCTATTTCAGATAAGAAACAAGCACGCGCATGTAGGTAGTGGAAATGACTCGTGTTTATTTAAGATTTGTTTCACGTCATATGAATGATGTCATATTGATGGTGTAATTACTGTCTTGATTAGATAAATAAGCGCGCTTGTTTTATTTAAAACGTAACAGATTTCTGCTGTGTCTAATAATAGAGCCAAAGGAGAACGAATGCATCTTTTAGGTGAGAATCAAGAAAAATCTTTGTTGAATTTTATTGAACAAGTTGCATCGAAATAATTCTTGCTCTTTTGACGTTTAGAAATAAAAAATCTTTTTCGATCACGTCTTCCATTACAGTTGACATTATCTCAAATAACTAAATTATCGAATCAATTTAATTTATCATCAATAGAAATCGAACGATGGTATGAACGTTTTATTCTTTGTTATCCATATGGTTATGTTTCGTTTCAAGAATTTCTTATTTATTTAAAACAATTAAATATCTATAGAGAAAATCAAGAATATCAATTGTCAAAATCATTGATTAAACAACTATTCTATACTTTGGATGTAAATAATGATAAACAGTTAAATTTTGAAGAATTTTTTCAATTCAATTTATTAATTAATCAAGGAACAAATGAAGATAAACTTAAATTAATATTAAATTTACATGATCGACAACAAAATTATTATACACAAAAAGAAATTGTAAATATTTTCACAAATATGTTTGCTTTACTCAATATATCTAAACTAGTAAATGATTTATCACAAAGCATCAATACAATTTTAACAAATGCTAATATGAATAATAAAAAGAGTAAAATCTGTTGGAATACATTTTGCATATATGTTCTTAATCACTCATTGTCACTCGAACTTATATTTTCAAATCATTTAATTAATGAAAGTTTTGAAGAAAAGTTAATAACGCCATGTTAACTATTTAAAATTTGATTTTGATTTTTTAAATTTTGTATTAATAAATAATAGTAATCCTTGAAAAATAATTGAGAATATATTTATAAGGAAGAGTTTATGATTAAATTTTGAAAGTCAAAGTTATGAAATGAAAGGCTAAATTATAAAAACCATCTAGTGATTTCTTTAAAAAATGCGTTGTTCGTTCAAATATTCAGATGATAATACAATCTACTATGTCATTTAGATGATAATGGATTTCACTAAGAGACCATTTGATCAATATTTGTTTTCTCATATTTTCAAAACGATTATATTAAGGAATAGAAGTATGCGCGCATGTCTCGTTATCTAACTACGTAGGAAGTATATCATTACTTTATTATTATGACGAATGTTTGCTCTATAAAAGAATAGTTAAGTGATATATTGACATTATTATTTATTTATTTCTTATCAAAAGCCAGTTTCTTTTTTTTTGTCAACTTTACTTTTTAAACTCTTCATATTCATCTATTCTTATATAAAGAATATGACGATGTCACGAATTTATCATTCAGTATCAATAGGTCAATATACACATCTGATAATGTACAACAATATTATTTTTCATGTTCTCATATGTACTCCATACTTTTTGAAAATCTCAGTATTCATACATATAAGTATTGATTATGTAATTCCATACTGGCTTAGTTTATTTCAATGTAGCTGTATTCGATACTTGTTTGAGAATCAAGTGTGAACTGGCTTCGTAGCTTCATAATATGAAAATATAGAACTTACTAATGTCGGCGCCAGAAGTAGATGGAGAAAACTCAAGGAGGAATATCTCCTGAACGGATGCAGCTAGCGACCTGCGGTTTTCACCATTAGAAAGAAAACGCCCAGGGGCATCCGCACATGGTAANTTATTCTTTGTTATCCATATGGTTATGTTTCGTTTCAAGAATTTCTAATTTATTTAAAACAATTAAATATTTATAGAGAAAATCAAGAATATCAATTGTCAAAATCATTGACTAAACAACTATTCTATACTTTGAATGTAAATAATGATAAACAGTTAAATTTTGAAGAATTTTTTCAATTCAATTTATTAATTAATCAAGGAACAAATGAAGATAAACTTAAATTAATATTAAATTTACATGATCGACAACAGAATTACTATACACAAAAAGAAATTGTAAATATTTTCACAAATATGTTTGCTTTACTCAATATTTCTAAACTAGTAAATGATTTATCACAAAGCATCAATACAATTTTAACAAATGCTGAGATGAATAATAAAAAGAGTAAAATCTGTTGGAATACATTTTGCACATATGTTCTTAATCACTCATTGTCACTCGAACTTTTATTATCAAATCATTTGAACAATGAAAGTTTTGAAGAAAAGTTAATAACGCCATGTTGACTATTTAAAATTTAATTTTGATTTTTTAAATTTTGTATCAATAAATAATAGTAATCCTTGGAAAATAATTGAGAACATATTTATAAGGAAGAATTTATGATTAAATTTTGACAGTCAGACTTATGAAATGAAAGACTAAATTATACAAACTATCTAGTGATTTCTTTAAAAAAATGCATTGTTTGTTCAAAGATTCAGATGATAATATAGTCTACTATGTCATTTAGATGACAATGGATTTCACTAAGAGACCATTTGATCAATATTTGTTTTTTCATATTTTCAAAACGATTATATTAAGGAATAGAAGTATACGCGCATGTCTCGTTATCTAACTACGTAGGAAGTATATCATTATCTTATTATTATGACGAATGTTTGTTCTATAAAAGAACAGTTAAGTGATATATTGACATTATTATTTATTTATTTATTATCAACAGCTTGTTTCGTTTTTTTTTGTTAACTTTACTTTCTAACTCTTCATATTCTTCTATTCTTATATAAAGAATATGACGATGTCACGAATTTATCATTAAATATCAACAGGTTAATATTCATATCTGATAATGTACAACGATATTATTTTTCATGTTCTCATATGTACTCCATAGTTTTTGAAAATCTCAGTATTCATACATATAAGTATTGATTGAGCGATTCCATACTGACTTAGTTTATTTCAATGTAGCTCTATTAGATACTTGTTTGAGAATCAATTGTGAACTGGTTTCATAGCTTCATAATACGAAAATATAGGAATTTGAACAAGTAGTCTATATACGATTTTCCCAACTATATTAGACATATCGAGAACCTTGTTTTTTTGCTAAGAAAAGCTTGTCGAAAACGTCAATCTTTCAAAAACAAAACAATCATACCACAAATTAATCACGTGAATGAGAGTGAAGAACGACTAAAATACATATCATATCGAACTTATTTCAAATCAACTACATAACAAATAACAATCCGTTGACGGATGATTTTTCTCATTATTAGAATATATAATTAGAACTAATTTTTTTTTTATTTCAATAATATACGCCAATATTCCTGTGACGACGAATAACTATAAGTCTGACAATAGTTTAGAAAATTTTCAAATTCCAATCTAATAGTACTCGTCGTATTCTATGCTAGATTCAAACTGACATTAAATATTATTAATGAATAGAATAGATAGTAGACATGCTCTGTAGTGGTTAATCATTCACAAGTAAATAAAATAAAATAATTATCTATGAAAGCAAGATTGGCGTAAAGTCAACTAACAATTTACGTACATGACTTAGCAAATGCGAAAGCGACGATGGTGATTTACGGCTTGAAAAACAGAGAGATCATCAACACTTACATTTTTTTTTCGGTTTATTAGATTTACCTCGATCTTTGTGTGTATTTTTCGCTTCTATAAATCACATTATCAATTCAACGCAAAGAATAACCATAATTCAAAGCGACAACAATAAATACTTTATTATCCTCTATTTGATAATGACATAAATAACAAGAATTGAAATAAAATCATAAAGAATGTTTACAACTAATTTTATTCATTACTATCATTTAATATTGTGGAAACCCGACAGCAAATATAGAACTTACTAGTAGAATTGAATTCACAATATTCTTGAACAATGTGTGAAATTTTTATTTATTCCCAATCACAGGATAATTTACCAATATTATCAAAATAAAAAATTAATTCGAAATACTTTAACGAGAAAATCGTTTATTAATGGATTGTTACTTCTTACCTAGTTGACTTGAAATAATTCCAGCATGGCATACATTTTGTCACTATCATTTGGTAGTTGGATTGTAAACATTGTAAGATATGTAACTGCTTTCAAATTACTCATCCTTTTTTTCGAAAAATATAGGAATATAGGGATAACTACAAAGCTAGATTGTGAGACGACGATTAATGAGTTTTGTTCAATTCTCCAGCATGGCCAATTTTTGCCTTCTGATCATACTATAACAAAATTCATACGTAAGAAAATATCATAATTATGACTGGAAAATTGTCGTATGGATAATGTGAAGGACACTCAAGGTTATTCCCTTGAAATATATCATCTAGTTACTGATGAAGTAAGATGATCCCTTTTTCTTCATTCACAAATCGTCATGCTCATAGACCGCGATACATTTATGTCATGCTGTTTGGATTTCTATATTTTATTCGTTGATGTACATTAATTTTGTCTTGCCGTTGTTTTAATAATGTGCGCCACGTTTTTCTTTATCACTTCTATTCGCTTTTCATAGCCTTTCTTCTCGCCTTCATGCTTTTTGATATACTATTTCTAAAAAGGATTTAACTGTTACCGGATTGTTTGAAAGATAAGTCGTTATATTGAAGTGAAGGTAATAAAGAGAAATTATTCATATATGGTTTGAAACAAGTACTATACAATAAGGGTATGCAAAAAATGAGCGATTAATTTTTTGTAGCATTCAAGTATTGACTTGGTCAGTTGAGATATACGATATGAATGGTAATTAATCTATACAGTAAGGAGTTATTCAATTCATTTATGCTGAAATCTCTTCAAATATTTGGAAGCATTCAATAATTAAAGAGTGTTCTATTGACAACAGCTATTTCATATCAGTTATTTTAACTAGAGACTTTGGGCAACGTGTTTCTCTATTTATAATCCATTTTGCATTATTTGAATGTACAAGATTTTTTTTTAGTAGATCAGAAAGAGTAGTAAAAATAATAGATTTTATACAAGTTTCAGAGTTTTCAAAGATAAGATCAATACGTATTCTATTAAATAATGTTTAAAAAAAGAACAGAATCATTTCTCAAGAGACAGATAAGGAAACGAATGAAGATTATCAAAAAGAGCCACTCATCAAGTTAATCTGTTTCATACGCTTATCATTTGTGGTGATTTAGATTAAACTGGAGTTTCGAAGAGTTTTCTTCTATTCTTGATACATTAGTCAAAAACAAGAAAATACATCAATTGTCTCGAACGTTCATAACTACTCAAGTCAGGTAGTTTATCTTATGTTAGTATATGAATAAAAAAAACATAAGAAGAAAAACAACGCATGAATGCTCAATCATTAACATAAATAATGATATATCTCTATACCGATCAAATGTAGTTCTGGATTTTTTCAGTGTTCAACTCAATTTATATCTTTCCTTTTGTGCATCATTCTCATTGTTCACTGACGACTCCTATTTTAAACTCTTTGTTGTCATGTGTCAAATAAGTGGTGAAATGAAAATAGTAGATTTCATTTCAAATCGGATAAGTTATACCTCTTATTTATCCGTGCCTCTACATCAACTAAATCGACTAAATCTAAAGCGATATTGACATAATGTATTTTTGACTCAGATGATTGTTCAAATTCTATGCAATTGAAAATATACTATTACATAATTTCACTTTTGTTGTTTGTCATAGATAAATATCAATTTCTTCTGCTAAAGGATCTGTTCATTGTCTGATATATGTTTTGAAAAAAAAAAACAGATGTTATTACACTTTTTTGAAATCTTTTTAGTTATATTTTCACCAAAATCTGACTACTTATGTATATATATTGTCTAGTATTTGATCGATTGATATCTAATTCGAGTAGTGTCCACATTAAAATTATCGTATTGCGAGAAAAGAATGATTATATTATATTAAATGGATCTGATGAAATATTGTCGTAGATTCATGATTTTTATTAATGGTATATTTATAAATGGTTTACACGTTGAATAAAATCTCTTAATTTTTGTCTAAAATCGGAATCGTTTGGACAATAATGTCCTCCTTTATGTAAGTAAAATTCCGCTACTAACGGATTAAAATATTTAAACGCTTTTTCACTCATTTCTGGTGTTATTAAAGGATCATTCATTCCTGAAATATGCAAAGATGGTAGCAACTGATTGTTCCTATCGAATGTTTCTAATATTGGTTTAATTGTTTCATCATTAATTGGAGGACAACCAATAAGAATAACAAATTTAATACAACAAGGAAGAATTGGCCAATTGGGAATATTTAAAAGCATTGTAGCACAAACAATTGCACCCTGAGAAAAACCTAATAAACCATTAAATGGGCCATTGCTATGGATATAATTTACTATATATTCAATACTTTCTTTCATTGTATCATAATTATAGTTTGTAACTGGATCTTCAGGTTTATAAGACATCCATTGATATCGTTCTTCATTTGATGAATTATCTGATGATTTTAAAAACCCATAATCAACAAATGAAAATGGTGCATTGATAAAAACAAATTCAATATCTTTCATTGATTTAATTAAAGAACGCATTTGATATTGACGATTTTGTGCACTATCATAGAAGCCATGTAAAACTAAAATACGAGTTTTAGATTGATCAACTTTTGCTGCCATACTTTAGTTGAAAATGAAAGAATGACTAGTTTTATTGCATAAGTTATCATTTTATTGATTCGTTACATTTTTTCATCCAATAAAAATATTGATATATTATATATGTCGCTTCTTGACATTCATTTTATTACAAAAACGTTCATTACTCGAATAACTTTGTTATCGTCACTTTGATATAGCTCAAAAACGAATTATTACGAAGAAGAAAAAGAATGCTGCTTCATCTATCAACTACGTTTAAATTGTATAGTGAAGTTGACCCTATCAATTTTCCTTATTATTGAAATATCTCGGTCACTAAGAACATATTTAACTTGAATACTGTTGCTGGGTGAATTTGATTTTATGAGTAATGGTGGTACTATGATACCTACTAATTAACCAGAAATGAATCATTGTGATGGACTTGTGGCAGGCTGGTTTAATGTTACATTGTCATCAACAGTAAGAACGATAGTTTTTGGATTCATGTGTTTCGAACATCTTGTAAAGATGCACGAAAAGTATATAACCATTTCATCTTTTGTGAAAAAAAAATTTCTACTGATAAGCCTATGTCGACTGTCTACGAAAATACTATTTTCCAGACACTTGTTCACATATCGGTCGATATTGACAGTTGTGAATCATTTCTAGTAGGTGATAGCCTTTTTACTATCCATACATCAATCAATATCTAGTTTCACATATGTTTTGTGTTCTTTGATAATGTTTGATAAGATGCTTCAGTCATTAATAGTTAATAACTGCTAATAAATTAATTTTATTATCAAAAGGATGCTTCACAAAATTATCTCAGCAGCAAAATATATCTAGCTCTCGTTACTGTTTATTAGATAACTATCGGATGAATCAAATATTTGATAGAAACGGAGAGTTTCTGATAAAAATCTGATTTTAGTATGTGAAATTCTTATGTGAATTAATTTTACTAAGCAAATACTTTGAAAAAATGTCGCTTTACGCTTCTATAGTAAAATTGAATTTTCTCTCAAAGGGATAAGCATCTATCGTTTGTTTGTTTTTTTGAAATATTATTCCAATCTCTGGGCTTGAAAAACTATATAATTTTTGTGTTAAACGGTTTAGCTTTCATCGAGTTATTACTATAACAAAATTAAACATGTTGCTCTACATCGAGAATGAAAATCGCTTTTTTAAAATTTTGTATTCAATTATTTGTGATGAAGAAGTTTATAAAATAAACTTCTTTAATTTCTCAAATCAGACCTTTCCTACTCCTCTTATCTCTCTCTTTTACCCAATCGAACTTTTTTTTAAATAAAGTTTCTTCAAAGGAAATGCGAAAGATTTTTATGTCACTTTACATAAAAATGCAAAGTATTATATCACTGATAATGAATAGTTTTTCATTCGTGACATTAGCTTTGAAATGAAAACTTACGACACATATTCTGAAAGTACTGGATAAGATCTATTTTTCTGATTGCACAACTAGTGAGAAAAACGTTTTGGTTTTCTTCGGACAAGTGGTGCTAAAAGATAGGTATTTAATACTGTTGCAATACTTTCTCGAGAACTAAAACAAATTGAAACTTGATTTTCTCAGAAGTGAATAACTACTTTTCGATCAATAAAACAAAAGAATAGATCAAAATCGATTGAGCAGAACTCGACTTAAAAGCATTTTTCTTTTCGTGGTACAATGTTTGTGCTCTTTCGCTCATCTAAGTGCACTTAGCGTTACTGCACAAGTTGTCAATAAGGTTAGTTTCTCTGTTTGTTTTTGTATTACTTGTTCCTTTCTGTAATGCCCTTTATCGCACTATTCGAAGTCAGTTGATTTTGTTTCTTTTTGTTAATAAAGTAACGAAAAATAGGTTTTACAGAAAAACAAAATTCAATATAGGATACATAACGAAACTGTTATCAGAATTCGTATTTTTGTAGTCAATTATCGAATGTTTTTCTGTGTCATCTGAAGTTTTTGTTCATTGTTGTAAACAAAGATGATTTTCAAGGTTGCTTTACGATACAAAACATTTGAAACGAGTTTTGATGTTTGCAAAGGAAGAAAAACTAACTGAATGAGAGTAAAGCATTATTTTTTTTTCTTCTTTCTTTCTGTACGTAAAAAGGCATTTCTTTACGTACGTACCTCTTTTTTTATAAAAATCAATAGTCTGAAAGTTAAAAGATTTATTTGTTTTGCAAACTAATATTCAATACATATATGTAAAATTTAATCAAGTGAGTATTAATATGAAAAAGTAATTATTTGAATTATAGCAATGAGAATTTCTTTTTTTTTTTTAATATTAAGATCAAAAATCATACTCAAACAGTGAATCAGTAATTAACAAGCACTAACTCAATATATTATGTGTATTGAATATCTTCTATAGCCTATATACTTTTGATGGTATTGATTGATCTTGTTTTTATGACTAATAATGAAACAAAAAACTTATCTTTTATAAATGAAAAAACAGTGAAGATTCAGGCAAAGTTTCAAAACTAGAATATTCGTGTAAAATAGTCTTCGAAACTGATTTTATCAATTTTTCAAAGTTGTCTAGATACTAAAATATCGTAATAGGATATCAATTGAGTCCGTATGAATATTTCTCATTCGAATATAGTCGAGTCTACGACACTAATTATATTAAATATCTGAGGAAAAAAAAATCAATATAAATTTCGACATCTTTGGTTAGAATGTATTTTCGTTTTAGTCATTAAGAAAATTGTTCTTTATAAACAATCAAGAAATGAAGTCAATTTTTATTTCAATATCAAGTTGATACAAGAACAGAAACAAAAATATGATTTCAATAATTATCATATTTTGTTTTATGTTAATTTTTGGTGAGTGTTATTTTTTTTGTAAAATTTCATGAAATTTCAATATTAGTAATTCAACCTCGTTATACTCTGCGATGCTATTCATGTCATGGAACAAAACAATGTAGTTTACTATTCTCAGAGTTCAATGACATGAAAATTATTGATGGAAATGATCTGCATGATTCTTGTTCGGTTAGTGCGAAATTATAGGCAAACAAAAATATTGATATGCATATATATGTTTCATAATTATATATATTTTTCAATGTAAAATAGATAACCTTGAATCCAGATGGTTCAATCATTCGAAATATTATACCATCGCATACTTGTCGAAGTTCATCTTATCAATTCTGTTGTAATCAAGATCTTTGTAATTCTCTTCCTTCACCTCCATTACCAGCACTTACTGATCTTACATGTGCTATTAGTAACTGTCGAACAAATGATAATCAATGCAACAATTCAAATGATTCTGTTGTCTATCGGAGCAGTGCTACTGAATCATGTATAGTGAGTCTATAATACATCAAACCACTTTGTCTTCACTACTGGAGAAACAATGCGTCGTACGTAATACAAGATGCGTATCAATTAATTAATTTTTTGCAAAAACAGAACTATACTTAGTATATTTACATCAAAATGTATCTATTTTTTAGGGCTTACAGCGGAAAAGTCTTAAAAGATCGAGATCAATATTATTTCTGGGTTTTACAAACCCTAAAACTCTTCTGTCAAGTCCTCAAAATAGCTTTAGATTTTTTGAAAAATTCTTTTCATTAAAAATTATGAAAATAAATCAGACAAAAGCAAAGATCGTCCTGGAAAGTTTGTAGACTTTGACATAAGAGCTGGAAGATTTCTCTTGCAAGGATGGTTTTATATTTTCTTGGAAGTGAAATAAAAATGACTTATCATCCATTCTGTAGTTTATTTTTCACTTATCTTTCAAATGACTAATCATTGGTAGAAATCGAGTTCTATTCTTTTCTAATATAGAGAATACATCGTAACATTGTTTACAAGTCATATAAAATGGGTTGTTCACCTAAAAGTACGACAATTACATCACTAACTAATGAATTGATATCTGAAGATATATTTTGTTGTAATTATCCTCAATGCAATCAACAAATTCTTCTTCCCGGTGAAGCTATTCGTTGTTATACATGTGATTCACGTATAACTGGTTTGAAAGATTGTATGATATTGAATACATCTAGCTCACATGTTTATAATTCCGCATCATCGAATCCATTTGAATTATGTGGTGTGAGTAAATAAGAGAACGAAATTCATAATATTTATTTATTAACTATGATTTTTCTAAGATGATTATCGGTCTACCAGGGAAAGATCTCATTACTGGGCGTAATTATTCAGCTTTTACGATACGTACTTTTATTGATAATTGTACCAATCAATCATTAGGTAATGTAACATATGGTGGTGCTACTTTTCAAGGTCGTATCGATTGTTGTTCGACATCTCTTTGTAACATAAATCGTAAGTTCTAATTGAAAAGTTAAAAAAAATTCCTCTTGTTAACTTAGCTTTGTATATTAATGTAACATTTTCAACAATAAAACAAAAATATGTTTCATCTATTTCAAAAATTGTTTTATTTACTTTAATTTCATGTCTTGGATTAATTTTTATTTTCATTGGTATTTCATTATCTATTTATCGATTTCGTTTGAACAAACCACATAATCGTTATATTCCGGGAATTTCTAGTGATGGTACAACAGTATTATTTTTATCATCACGTTAAATTAATGATAATCAGTTTGAAAAACGATTATACTATTAATGATTTTAAGTTGATACGATTGAAGAAAATTAACTAATTTGATACTAATTATGATTTTAATATGTTTTATTTTAATTTATTTTTTAAGATTAATGTATTAGTCAATTTGCGTTTTCATGATTTACAGGAAGCGAATGAGATGATAAACTATTCTTATAAATAAAAAGTTTTATTAACGAATCAGTTCTTCTATTTTGCATTAAAAACATCTTCTCATGATTGTAAAGTCAAATTCTGATTGATTGCATAGAAAAAAAAGAGAGCAAATAATATAAAAATAACTTTTTTCAGTACAAAGTTCATGTAAAAAGAAATTGATTTAATAATTCAGAATAATATCATTCGTTTCAGAATCATCAAAATGATCACCAAGTCTAAAGTAACAATCATCGATGAGATATTTCTCGTTATTCCATTGCAATAATCTATATTTGAACAACAATAGACCATACTGTCTTCAGTACCATTTCCAGACGTACAAGATCGACCACCTGCTATGCGTTCAACATAAGTTGGATATACAACTTTCTAATTAATTACCGAAAATCGAAAAATAACGTTCTTTACAATTCATTACTTACTGCACAATAGTTATTGTATGGAACTGGAATATCTCCTGATGTGCTTGAATCACATGGATCATTACAACCAGAATTAGTTGAACCAACACATGATACACAAATTTATCCATTTGTTATCGGAATTAATACTAAAACAACAAGTTTATATGACTCAAATGAAAAATAAGATATTTACTTAATAAGTATAGAAATGATAAATAAAGTGCATTCATTTTTTTTTTCAGTTTATGATGTTTGAACGATAAAAGAGACGAATATTGTTTTAACAGTTATAAGAATAAATTATACCAAACGACGGGAATACAAAAAAAGAAACATGTGAAATTCACTTACAATTTAATACGAAAATTTATTTGTTTTGTTTCCTTTTCAGAACGATGTTTGTTTTGTCAAAGCTCGTGTTCATTTTTTATGCAATTTTTCACAAAAGAATAGAACTGTATAAAAAGAAAACTAGACTCAAATTTATATTGAAAATTTCAACTTCACAAGATATATGACATTTGAGATTACGATAGAATATAAACATAAATCATGATGAAAATAAAAACTCTGCTGTTGCTAAGATAATTTACTAATATTTCCAGGAGGCTCCAGAAAAAGAACAAATTTAATTCCTTTGATTTATTCCAATGAATGTTTTTCTTGCATTATTTTGTAAAAAAAACCAACAGAGGCGTAACATTTTTAATCCAAATTCAATAAAAAAAATCAATTCATATAGAAAAATAAAGATTACAAAATACAACAGAATATACTTTGTTCTATTTCATACAGAATTTCGATTACGATATAAGAAAAGAAAATGTCAGGAAAGTCTCGTTTATAATTTCGAGAAATATGTTTTTATATCATTCATATATGGACCAGGTACAATTTGTCCCGTTTTTGGATCACAATATCCTTGTATAAAACTCGTTCGATTGATTGCAGGTTGTCCAATACATTTACCACGAACTGTAATTGAATATTCTGTATACTTATTTTCACCATTCATTGTCAATAAAGGTTTCTCAATATTAGGATCAACTATAAAATGTACAACTGTCACTCGAATACCGGTACCATCAATAAGTGATGGATCTGATTGAAGATTTGGATATATTATATCCCATGTAAGATTGTCCTATAGAATAGAAATCAAATAGGATTTAATTAGAAATGAAAAGCTTTCAAGTTACTTGAACTGCAGGACCATTAAATAGACCAAACCATAATTGTGGAGAGACATTGCCGGCATTAAATCGCAATGAAGATTCATCTATTCGTTGTTGACATATAGCAGTGTCTGTATCTTCACATTGACGTGTTTCACCAGCACAACTCCACCAATAAATATATTCTCTACCATCAAAACCAGGTCCTTTAAGAGGAACAGGCCATGTATCGACAAGATTTGTTATATCATAGACTGATGCATTTCCATAAGCACGACATGGATTTTTACGATCAACTAATAATAAACTTGTCCAACAAAGATTTATTAGAAATATACTAATTAGAATACATGATAAGATGACAGATGTTTGAAACATTGTCAATGTATCTATAATAACAATTAATTATAATGATTGATTAAAATCCGAGAAGAAAAATATGATTTTTATCTATTCTTCTTTGTTTTGTTTTTTTCAAGACTGCACTCATTATGCTTCTTGCTAGTTGGCTAATATTAAAAATGATAATTGTGGAAAATAATAAATAAAAGTCAAGAAAAGGCAGTCATATTGACTGAAGGGATGAAAGATAAATAGTAGCTTCTCTGTTTTTTTTTCTTATCAAACACGTGAAATTATCTTATCCAATGCTTTTGTTTTTGACTCTAGTTATTTAAAATCAAACATTTTGAAATGTTCGTTAATTGACATTATTTGAAAAACTTTTCTAAAAACACTGAATATTTTATGATTAGATTGATCACAAAAAAGCAAAGAAATATTGAGTCTAGTCTTAGTCTTACATGAGATCGTATGATTGTGTAATCAAACAACTGTGTACTTTACGCTAGTCTTTCTAAGCATTTCTGAATTTAACGACAAAGAAAGTCACGTTAAACAAAATATCCTCGACTATGTTTACATTATGCCACAAATATACGCAGCTGCACCGTAAGAATTTGATTAGGCAGAAGTATGGATCGCGAATATAATTATGCTGCAAAGAGTACTCATAATACGAGGTTAATTACGGCGTAATTGAACTGCAGTTGAACACAAGAGGAGAACGTTGAATGTTCTGATTGAAAAGGCCACAATCACGTATAAAGTAAGACGCTAAATACAACCAATCGGAAGTGTTGAAATATCGACTACCACCTATTGTTTTCTATCTAATTTTTTCAATGGAACAGTTAAATTCCTGTTTGTTGATGTCTTTTGTTCTGAAGTGAAGCTTTCACTTTCGACTTCTGAAGAATGAAAATTAGGCGGCATTATAGGTTGATGGAAACAGTTTTCCATTGAATGTTACACAATTTCTATGCCACAAGTTCACGTTCGATTTCCAAAACAAATTTCGAATATCATTTGTTGCCCGACAAGAATGATTTATTCTGGAAACTAGATGCAGAATCATTTACATTCTTTCAACTATCTGATCCACTACATAAAACATAGTGTCTTTATGTCGTATCATTATGTTGTATAAATAACAAAAAAATCATCTTTCAATATGAAGGAGGAATACCTTTAAATAAAATGATGATATTAAAAAAAAGAAACTACTATGACAGTAAGCTGTCAGATACGTATTTATTCTAATGAGGATTTATGCGAGGCAGAAATAGTTTATTGGCACAGTCATGCATGAGCTAAAATGTGAAACTCATGTGTCCTTTTCAGTTCCATTATTTTGATGAGGAATATGTGAATTGAAGAATTTCTAATAAATGACAATTGTCTGCCATTGATAACCAATTATCAAAAAACGACTCTATATTATTTATTTTTGCATTTCAAATAGTAATTTTTTTCTCTTTTTTACTGGTGCTCCATACTATATTTGTTTTGCTGCAATTGATTTGTTAATTATGTTCTGTTTTTATTTCATTTTCATCTTAATTTATTATAATTTTTATTTCTTTTACGATTGATCAAGCTAGTAGCGTAAGGTGCTATGCATATCAGTTTAATAAATGGATAACGGATCTCAACATGACAACTTGTATCGTGATAAAAATAGAAATTTTTATGTTGATTATTGTTCAAAGTTAGAACTTGATTATGTTATATTTCTGTGTCAGTCGTATGCTGACTGTATCAAACTGACACAATACTTGTCATCATGACTCACATCTATCGTGCAATTGTTTATCTTTCATAAAGTTTAAAAACGTATTATAAGCGTGTGGAGTTCAAGAAAGGCTTCGCAATGTCCTAGAATACCTCTGAAGAGTTTGAGGCACAAATAGCTCTAAGAAGAAGTCTTGTACCTGCTACTTGTTTGATGGAAAAATAGAATCATTGACCTTTTCTTCTTGGTAACTAGGAAGTGAGAGAAAAAAGACAAGACATGTTGCTTTCAACTTACATTGATTATTTTTTTTTTCGAAAAATATATGTGAGTTTCATAATAGAGTTCAAGCGAATAGTGAAGCAAACAGAAAGGTGATTGTCATAGGGTTGACCTAGCGAACAATAGAGATTATGTCTTCGCCATAAGATGTAACAAGTAATCTCCATGGGAGTGGACAATTGTTCAAATCGACGGATAATTGAACTTTCTTCTTTAGCCGATGATGAGTGAGAGCCAGTTCAGTATGATCACAATCAATAGTCAATGTCATTTGATCATCTGGTTCAATATTTTTTTCTCTGTAGCCTTTCAATTGAGCATTACCATTGATGATAGCCCGATCGAAATCTCGCCAACCATAGGCCGATGGCATTTCTGTTGATCGAGCTGTCATCTCTTGCGCCGATGTCAATATACCGAAAAAAATACCTTCGTTTTTCTTGGCGACGACTCGAAATCGTATGCTATGTTTTCCCGAAGCATACAGTTTGATACCATAGATACTCGAATAGCCAACACATGTCGCAACTGAACCATTCTCTGCTAATTTTACGCGTCCGGCAACCTGATAAAATCGTTCTTCAGCAGCTGTATTTATTTCTTGCAAAAATGAAGAATGCGACTCCAACTTGACAGACGATTGCTGCTCTTTGTTCACTTTTGCTTGAGCAGAATTATATATGAGTGAATCATAGGTTATTTTGATAAAACGAATAATAGATGTGGATTTTTCATCAGTGCCAACACCAATTGGAAATGGTTGTTTGATCAATTCTTGCAATGTCTGAAACTGTCGAGTCCAATTTTTAATATCGATTTCTGTCGCGTCACTTGTCTTGCGACTGGACTCCATACTCGTAGTAATCTTATCTATTGATTCATTGAAATCCTTCAGCGTCTGCTTAGTCAACTGATGAACTTCGGTTCGAGCATTTTTAGCTATCAACTGTATCTTTTTAATCGATGCTTCTTCCCAAAGATCAATGGCAGATAAAATTGGCGATGGATCATTTTGTTGTAGGAGACCCTGTCGAAAAAGTTCACATTGATCACTAATTCGATCCATTTGTTGTACAAGCTCTTGTTGATGTTCAGATAAATGATGTTGACAAAAAGACTGATGGCATCCGTCGCAAGTGACAACACCGGAATTTGTCGCACATTTTACGCATGTCTTTTTCGTCAAAATCGTTATCATATTTTCAATCTGAACAGAAGCATAAGGAAGATTATGGCTTGAAATTAAAAGGAAATTTTTTAAAGAAATCAATTTTTAGCGATATTTGAACGCAACATCTAATCTTAATTTCAAGTCTGTTTCTCAAACTGACTCCATAAGAGTTTTCATCTAAAATCTGAATGTGAGAATGAGTTTTGTTGACTCTATCACTTGAAATTCGGCAAATAAAAATATATGCTACCGTTTGTTATTGATTACCCGATTATTGTTTTTTTTTGTATATGAAAAATGAGACCATTCACTTTCAATTATCATCGTTATATCGGATTTAATCTCAGCATGTTTGCTACTGACTCTTTCCAGACTTAAACATGCAAGCGATGTGAGAATAAACGATCCAATAGAAATGTTATCATTCATCCTACTTCAATATCAGAAGAAATTTTTCTGAAATAACAATGTAGATGGTCGAATCGAAATGTGTAAGATACAGAGAATAAGAAAAAGAAACCATAGTGATCAAATTTCACTGATGCATTAGCAGAGCCTTTCAAACAATACTGAATATCAGATATTTAGAAAGTCGTTGGAAATCTACACATATTTATTTTCACACTTGACTAAATTCATCTACATTCACGACGATGAATTATTCATCACAGGTGTCTATCAACTCTTAGAAACATTGTACGGCATCCCATTCAGAATGTCCTTGTTGTATTCAGTCTTCTATACTTGGTTTGTAGCATAAGTGACGTAGTATAACTCTCTCAAGTGTTGAACTCATTTCAAACTTATCAATGGGTACTTCAAAACATACTTTCAAATAGAACATTTAATGTGTTCCTTTAATATATCTTCGTGTTCCACTAATGCATCACAACTGATGAGTGTAAACTAATTGGCTGACGAGGTAACTACCTGAACTGATATTCGCCGTCTGAGCGCATATTGGGTTCACAAGGACATGATAGTAAGGCTAGAAAAATCTTAAAAGGGTTTGCGCCTACAAGCTTCTGAAGCCAAGTTATGCCCATATTACTGAATTTTCGATCTCAAAGTTTCGTCCATAAAGTTTATGAACCAAACTTTGAGATCGAAAATTGAGTAAAATAGTCATAACTCGGCTCCAGAGACTCATGAGCATGAATTCTTTAAAGATTTTTCTAGTCTTATCGAGATCTCCTTCCTAATCCAATATGAACTCCAGCAGTGGGTATCCATTTGGATAGTTCCTTGGTTGAGCCTCCACACAATAGGCATGATATTTTCTTGCGAATAATAACTTATTTCGTCTCTATAATTGTTACTCCTAGACTTAGTGAACGATCAAAAGAAAGAACAGTCGTTTTCTAAAAAATTAATTTTATTGAAAAATTTATCTGAGGGGATTTCATGAGAAAAAAATTCGAAGAAAAATATTTCTTTGTAATTATGCCAACTATGACGGTGGAGAACATACGGGAGAACATTCAAATAAACTTCGAATAAATTTAAAATGGGAATGTGAAGGAGCGCATATGATACTAATATAACTGCTTGGAAAATCATAGTGAAGAAAAAGAAAATTATATTCTCTGAAAATATTAGTGGTAATTGAACACTTATTTTTATTCATCTACAGTAAAAACTATGCAGACTTGTATGTAGTATCGATTGTTTTCGATTGTCACTGCAACCGATTCCATAAAAAATGTAGATTGTATAGATGGCGCTATTTCTACGCTAATATTTAGTTCGTTGTTTTTTCACTCAACTTTAACCTTGTAGCAAAAATTTAATTCTATTAAATAGTCCATCAGTTGAATTATATTTAGCACTATTTGAATCTTTTAGAGGTACACTTTTGATTTTTTTCCCCAATGCTCACTGTGGTTGTCTTCTGTGCGTCGCTGTCGGGACATAAAAATAGGTATTAAATTTTTGAAAACTTTCAGCATTCAAGATTAGCTTTCGCAGATATTCTTGTCTGGTTTCTTATCATGATGTTCTCTACCATAATTTCTTCCTTTTCTTCTCAAACTTTCACGGAACTACCCTAGTCGAACATCTTGTAAGCAAGATCTTGGGTACAGATAAGTGAACAGATCTTGAAAATTTAGGTACAATATAATAGGATTATCTTGTACCAAGATCTGACTACAGATCTTAGGTACGAATCCATAAAATCTTGGATACACGCTAAGATAAAATTTGTTGCATATATCATGATTTGGGTCACAATGTATGACGATTTCTGAAAGCGTGGTTCGAACTTATCATACAGCGCATTTTTTTATTTTTTTTCTGTAAAAGCATGTTATGATATTTTTGTAATTTATTTTTATTTTAATTATTTCTGTCCCAAATAATTCAAGCGAGTCAGATGTTGGAACCTGACTAGCTTTGAATTGGCCCGACATCAGTCAGACCACTTCAGGGCAGTCCTCTCTCGATCATCAATCGAGATCAGCATTTTCTCGAATAATTAATAGTCGAGAAATAATTTTGAAAAAAAAAATTGAAAATTTATGTCTTGTATGTTCAAGCATGTTGTTTATATACAGCTCTGTGTGCATAAAAAAAACGGTGAATGACTAGTCAGCATGTAAATACAGTAATGATGTCGCTATTTGTTTTACTCAAGATCTTGCCGAGATCTTAGTTACTGATTTATTTGATACAACCAAGATGTGTACATACAAATTATATTTTCAAGATCTTGATAAGATCTTGCTTACCGAGCCCAAGATGTCAAGATCTTGCTTATAAGATGTTCGACTAGGGTAAGAAGGATTTTAAAATATCGAAAAATTTAGATCAACGCCACCGATGAAGGCATCAGTTTGCATCTCTAATCACAGGTGACGGATTTACTTGTCCTCAGCACATGTATGCCACACGTTTCATGAATTCTTATTAATATTTTGTATTTATGTAGACGAATCAAGGTCTTATTTTGATAGAACGATTCAGATCATGATAAAAATTTACTTCCTAACAATACTTACAGAAAGACTATGACATTCTAACAGAATCGGTTAAGGGACATAATCTTCATCATTTCATACAAACCACTAGCACAAAACAGTACAAATTGTAATCACAACAGCTGCGCAACCAAAGTATTGTTTTCTTTTCATTTTACTGCTACGCAACAGTATGAAAAGAAATGAGTAGCAACGATGATGGCCTCAGGATAAAAAGAAAAGCATGCAATTCTTTTAGTTGTTCGATGCGAATGAGTCATTCTTATTCAACAGACGAGATATTGTCATATGACTGTTCGTGGAAATAGCGATATCGGTTACAGCAAATTCGTGACAACCATGGTTTCGAATAATCAACGACAACTAATTAATAAAGTCACAAGTGTGATCTCGATGAACAAAATATTTTTCAAGCATATCTTGGTATAATATCAAACAATCTATGAACAAATCTTTGATGAACTTTTCTTCTGTTGACAATCATCTGATTGAAAAATGTCTCTTCACCATTCAACATTAAAATTCGCGTTCGAATTACAAGCCTACAAAGCAAATGATCTCTTCATCGTTTTCTACAAATACATAGACAAATGGAATTACAGTAGTTGAAATCCGAGATTGGAATTATTGACAAGTGGAACCAGCATAGAGGGTTTGGATCTGGATATCGGATGGGATGAGATGTAGGTGAATATAAGTGCTACTTTTGATGAAGATAATGTCTTAGCACACATCTACAGCCATGCCCACACTCTGTTTGAAAAATAATAAATTAAGATAAACACTGAAATATTTGACGATTGAAGTGTTGACAACTATAAACAAATCTATTGCGGCAAATTGTTCTCTTCTCTTTCGCGCCATACTGTTATTTTTTCTTTTCTTCTGTGCGCTTAAACTTAAAGTTTGTAAATCAACACAAAAGCAGAAGCAAAAGGATGCCGTAAAAATTGTATTTTTTCTTCTAAATTAACCAACTGAATTTTTCATTGTGTTCTGAAATAAAGAGAAACTATACCGACTTATATCCAAATGAAAGTTTTTTTTATTATTATAAGAGTTATTTCACAAGTTGTTGCAACTAATATTATGCATTTCACACAGCTCTATCTCATAAATTGATGCTATCATAATAAATAAATTCTAGAGATCTATTGCTATTGCAAACAATTACTCAATGAAGTATTCTTGTTCAAATACCTTTCTTGCTAATTTACCGAATTCCATTGATTTAATACAGCAATAGTGAAAATTTGACCATCAATTTAAAGACAATTCCTTTAGATTAAAGTTTTAAATGATTTCGTTTTATAAAAGATGGAAATAGAAAAAAAAAATTATACGAAATCTCTTAGAAAAAAATTGAACTGTCACAATTGTTTATGCTTTATTATCATTTTTCAATTTGGTATAGAAAACATCACATGATCTAAATGACATGCCGTCTTCTAAGTACATTTTTCATAGCCATTTTACAAGGATATTAATATTTATTTTTTTTCTCAGTTTATTTGTTTTTATTGACGGTACAGCTGACAACAATAGTAGTAATTGTCTGTATTGATAACTTTGTTCAACAATAAGAAATCATTGATGACAATATTTACTGATTTTACTCAAAGACATAAGTGCGTTAGAAACTTTCAAATTCGAAGATTTTTCCACAATTATCTCTTACAGACATGATCATATTGACAAATTTATTTTGTAATTTCTGCTATTGCGGTACCTGTTCTTGCTTTATTCAAGTTTTTATTATTATATTTAGGTTATCAGTAAAAAGATGCGAAGCTGAACTGATATTTGTGATTCAACGTACAAGTGAACGAATTCCTGCTACATTTTGACTAGGCGATTATAATTCAGCAAGGCCATCTATCTTAGAATTAAAAGCTTTTGTCGAATAAAGTATTTGAATTTGTTAGTTCATCTCACAGTTAGATTCACAATCTATGTAAGAATCAATTAACAAAGAAAAGTTCCAGCATTTCAATGAAACATGAATCGAAAGAAAAATATATACGGATGTAGATGATGTTTTGCGTAATA